TGTAACAAATACTGTGTACATCTGAAATAAAATTACCCTGCTTTACCTTTTTAACTACAGTGTATACCTCACGTTAAACGTAAGAGCTGAAGCTTCCATGGCAGCTACAGCGGATGAAATCTGCTCTGGCTCTCAGCCATGTCAGTTGGTTAAGTATCACAGATGTCACACAAACCATCTCTCCCTATCATCAGACACGGCTGATAGCCCAAGAATATTTTATCAGCTTGTGTCACAACTTTTTTTCCTTTAAAACAGGGTTATGAGATCACATAGCTCTCTGTGTATGCTCCCCTCCCTGAACCTATTGATCCATGACTGATGTATCATTAAAATATTCCTACAGGTAAGTCAGTTACAAATATGAACAGAAAGGAAACGTGACATACGAACGAGTATTTTGCAATAATGCTGCGGCTGCTGCTACTACTACTGCTGGTGTTGCTACTAATAAGGATGACGGCAGTTTTCTATGGGTAATGAGTAAAGTCTTCAAGATCCACCACTTTACCACCCACAATATCCCACCCCCATCAATAGAATTTTTTTTTCATATTTCACCACACTATACAAGCTGTGGATGAAGCCGAGCAAAATTTCTGCAATCAGGAATTAAATTTAAAAACACCCGGTACTTTACATTTTAATTATCTTCGGTTAGCAGGAAAACCCGATACTTTTGGTTTGATGGCCTTCGGTTATGAGGAAAACCTGGTATCTTGAACGACCTCAGGTGCACAGTATTGATCGCAAATTTAAAAATCCCGGTACTTTTTCGTTTTAATGGTCTTCGGTTATTTGGAAAACCTGGAAGGTTTTTCTGAAAACCCGGAGCAAGGCCGTATTTGAGCACATTTTGTGCATACAGCAAGAAATGTAAACATACCCGGTTACTTGGAAAACCCGGACGGTTTTTCTGAAAACCTGATTGGTTTTTGTGAAAACCCGAAGGTTTTTCTGGAAACCCGGAGCAAGACAGTATTTTACCACATTTTGTGCATACAGCAAGAAATGTAAACAAAACCCTGGTACTTTCCGTTGCACCCCGGTACTTTCCGATGCACCCCGTTACTTTCCTTTGCAGGACTTTTGGTGAGACTGAATAGCCAATCAGGATTAAGGGGCAGGGCCACTTCAGTGGGAACAGTAAGCCAAACCACGCCTTCGGGGGAGGTCAGAGGTGTTATCATCCAACCCCCCTCCCCCCAATGACGTAGACTGAGTAACCAACCAACATTAAGGGGCGGGGACACATGAGTCCACATGAATTCTGGGCTTAGTTCATTATTTATAGGTATAGCTGGAAATGTAAACAAAACCCGTAATTTTGTGATGTAATAACCTTCAACGACATTCAAGAACACAAGAGTTGCTGCAGCTCTGTGCATATGCCCGCAGATGTTGCCTTATTTCAGAAAAAAATGGGTTACAATAGCCTGTAAGCATCAATGGTCAGGGGCCAAGTCTAGGTTCAAATACATGAATGTAGTGCTAAATGCAAATATTTTGAAGATACAAGAAATGTATATATGTTACTGATTATTTTGATCTTATAGCCTCTAAAACCTTCAAGAGCACATTTCAAGCCAAAGCTGTGAACTTTCTGATGAGGATTAAACATCACTGCCACAGTTGAACATTTATCTCCAAGACAGGGTATGAGGATGAACTTCGTTTCTTCAATTAGCCATTTTTGCAAGCCAATTGGTCAGTTCTCATCCACTTTACACTGAAGGCAAGCTTTGGACCCCATACCAAGTACAGTATGAAACGTCATGATTGAACAAGGAAGGGATGCTGCACAAGGAAATGGTGCTTTACACCTGGAATTTAGGTGGTTGTCGTCAACCAGTCAGCTGATGCCTCACAGGAGACATATAGAATAAATGATCTTCCCCAGAGCAGACATTTCAGCATCAATTAAAAGAGTTTACTGAACGAGGATTGACCACTTGGCTTGCACAGGTGGTGAATCAAGGAAACAGGGTTTATCCTCATATCCTGTCTAACACATAAACGTTCAGCCGCAACACTCCTCAGTAATCCTGTAGCTATAAATGTACTCTTGAAGGTATTTTGGAGGTTACAAGTTCAGACAGTTCAGGGGTTTGTTTACATTTCTTGCAATTAGCACTAGATTCATGTATATTAACTTGGCTCTGACCCTTGATGCATCCCCTTCTTCAGAAATACAGCTACATCTGCAGCCGAACTATTGAATCCCAGGCTGAAAGCTTGGGGCTGCAGCAGTGCTGTGCTCTTGAGGGTTGTTGGAGGTTACTGGAACCAAAAAGTACAGTTTTGTTTGCATTTCCTACTGTACCTGAAAATTGCGCAACAAGTATTAATTTCATGCATATTAGCTTGGCTCCAACCCTTCATGATGATTGGTTACTTTATTCTATTCCCATCCACATGGACTTGAACCCATGTTCTCATGCATACAAGCATTAACACTGAGCTAACGCTTGTCATGACTGCTGTATTCATTACATGTTAAACAGTCTGGTACATTCAGTCTTGAGCTTTATACAAACCATTCATATTAAGTCGTGTAACAAGACTGGTCTTGTAGTGATTTATTCTCATCATAAAGTGGACTTCAAACAATGAGGCTCTGAGGATATCTGTAAATTCACTGCACATGTAATTTTAATGGCAAATTGAACTTGTAGATGTGTGGGTCTCAGGGACAGGGCAGCGAACTTACCTTCTGAAGGTTCCATGTTCATGTCCACAGGGAATGCGACTGCAGCTTTTTATGTGTCGAAGTGAGAGCATTTTTACTTACCTCCATAAACACAACCAACAGGTTATATTTTAGCGTCCTGTTGCACTGATTCACCTTTCTCTTTACTACATGTTTCGGCACTAATGTGCCACCTTCAGGTGTGGTTTTATTTACGTCAAACCACTGCACTGTATGCCATCATGTGACCTTTATAAAATGATTAAAATGTATATGTGTCATGTATAATAATAAAGTTTATATGTTAAAACTTTTCAAGATTTATCATCTATATGTATACAATGCACACAGTCACAAGGAAAGGACATAATATACACAAGAATATAGGAAGAACACTCCCATAGGAGAGGATTGACATAACTTGCGAAATTTGAAGTGCAACGTATAGATGATAAATCTTGAAAAGTTTTAACATATAAACTTTATTATTATACATGACACATATACATTTTAATCATTTTATAAAGGTCACATGATGGCATACAGTGCAGTGGTTTGACGTAAATAAAACCACACCTGAAGGTGGCACATTAGTGCCGAAACATGTAGTAAAGAGAAAGGTGAATCAGTGCAACAGGACGCTAAAATATAACCTGTTGGTNAACCAACATGTATTCTTTCAACATGCTACTGAATTTTAATATTTTGGTGTTCTGAAATATACAAGATAGGCTTTAAAAAAGGACAAGAATTTCCAGAATTTAGTCGCAATCCAATTATTTTTCTGATGTTATTCATCCAACACATTAAAATTCTTAAATATTTTAAAATTATTTGTTAACTGTATTTACAGTGTGAATCTTCTGGCAGAAGTTGTTTTGTATGTTCTCATACACTTAATTTAATTTGCACCCTGTACATATTCTGAGTGCAGTGCTGCACTAAGCAGAGGGACAACTTTGTTTTTATTTCTTTATTGGTTGTATTACAGCCATCAGCACTCAGTTGGGGTCATTCAACTCCAGTCCTGCCTGACAGCATGCTGTAAAGCAGAAATATGTATCGGCGAGGATGAAGGCTGAACTAGTTGGCTACATTGTCATAGATGCATACAGTCTCAGGTGACCTCAAACTCTGTTCAGGACATTAATGTTCTGCCCATATTGATCTGTATTCTCCTGTGACAATGCAAGGCTCGTAGCAGATCAGTCTCTCCTGCATCAGAGGACTCGACTGACCTGTATGGATCTATCAATTAAAATCATTGACAATCTGCCTAAAATTCTTATTTCCTCTTATATGTGTCATCTGTATCTGTACAGACATCCTTAGGGTGTACACGTAACAGGTTTTCCTAAAACATGAAGCAAAGACAGAATCGGCTCTGAAGAGTATTTATTACAATAAATTACAAATATCCCACCCAGAAGGATCCGAACAGCCTCACATACATCAGAATTTTCATATTTGCTTCAGCGTATATAATTTTTGGATACAATGACTGCAAAATATCTTGCAACAGTGTAAGTCCCAAACTGTCAAACATTCTATGGATTATGTTACAATTCAATGAAGTGATTCAGATTGCTTTCACTATGCTGCAACCCGTCTGTCTTTACCATAGCCAAATTAGGGCAGTCATACTTCCATAAACTTGTATTACAGAATTCTACATCAATATAAACCTTAAACTGTTCACTATGGCTTGTCAGATTATTGAGGAATTAGCTGAGAAGAAATTTCTAACTGTACCAATTAGAAAAATCCCTTAACATCTCCCCACCAACCCCCAAAGCTGCAGCAGTTCCTACCCAATTTATACTTACAATTACCTCTGCAATCAGAAAAGCAACTTATGTATCTTACATAGACATTCTGAGTTCAGGGTCCTGCATTGTAGCAACATGCAGTTTGGAGATGGCCCAATGTTTAGGATGAATATGTCACCTCCAAAACTTGGGGCTCTCTCCGAACTACACGTTGCTACAACTCAGAACGCTATACTCTTCATTCCAAGTACCAGCCATAGCCTCCTCACTGTCGCCATGCAATTCAGAAGTATCGACAAAAGCAGAACACGCAACTCTCAGTTCTCAATTCCTACAACTAACTCCCATGTGAAATCAAAACCAACTGTTATCTACTCATGACTGTGTATTCCCTGTATGTGCAATTACAATGTATACTCTCTAAGTGAACAAGTCTTCAGCTAAGATCTTCCACATGAATATGGCTGTAACCACGAAGATTTCAGTCTTCTGGGATGTGACATCATGTAGTCTGGTAGATGTTACCAACGTTTCTGAGGAATGTGAGGCCTCCATCTTCAGGGTGTTATCACTTACATGTTCCTCCAAAGTGGTGGTAACATTCTACCAGTCTACATGGCCTCACATCTAAGAAGACAACAATTACTGTCAATTAATCCAAATTGTCAGATGATGATACTGTATGCAAATATGAGAGCCACAGTTTACAGGACGAGTTTTGGGAAAGAGATATCATTGGCTGTACTTTATTCGAAGAAACTAGCAAAAGAGAGGTAATGTGCAAGCATAAAGAGTCCATTTTACACATACACAAAAACTTTACCAAACGTTTGTAACTTCTAACACTTCTGTAAGACATACATGAAAGTGATTTAGACCAACCAAAGTGGAAGCTGATATAATGCTTTAGACAGGTTTCATTATGGAACTCCCATATCACACTCCATCAAAATGCGTGCTGCCTGCGAGAACTGCAACATACAACAATGGGAATATAGACACAGTTCTGTCACAGCTATGAATATCAGCTTTGTCATGCTATCATTACATGCACTAGCAGTACTACTGACCTGGATAATTTCTTTGAGTCAAAGCTACATTTTCACAAACATGTTAACAACATATTTTCTGAATGCATAAAGCTTTTAGGCCTTATTCGCTCCATTACCTACAGATTTCCTTCCCTGGAGTGTCTGTATGTACTATACTTTACTTTAGTCAGGTCCAAGTGGGAATATGCCTCGGAAGTTTGGAACTCCATCACCTCGACTGATGCCAATAAGCTTGAGCACATCCAGCAAGAAGTTTGTGTCTGTCTGTTTTTATCGTTTTTTTCCTCATATTCCATATACTTATACTGATGCTTTAGAGAAATTAAGTCTACATTCTTTACATAAATGGAGACATCACCTTGATGCACTTTTTTTTGTTCAGGCCTTTAATCTTAAATCCTGCACTTCTCTTTTGGAAAATGTTAGCCTTCATGTTCCTCCCAGCAATCTTACAGACTTCTCATTGTTTGGTGTTTGTCCCTCTAATAAACACTGTCCTTCTGCTCGATGTGCCTATGCTGCCAACACAGCAGGTAAGGATTTCGACATATTTGCAATCGGAACAGTTTCTGTCAATCACATTGAACCTAAAATTGTTAATAATATTTGATAATAATCCTACTATTACGTGTGTGTGTATGTAAAATTTAAATTAAATTCGCTTAGTGGGGGGTGGAGTCCAACTGGGTCCACTCGGCACAGCGGCCACTGATTGGCCTATTGTAGCCTGCCCCGGGTGATTATGTTGATGGAGAATTTGGTGGAATGGAGATTGGCAGGGGAAACCGAAGTACTAGAGAAAACCCACCGCACCTCCACTTTGTCCACCACAAATCCCACTTGACCAGACCCTTGCTCGAACCCAGGCCTCCACCGTAGGAAGCCAGCGACTAACCGCTAGAGCAGTGGCGCGACCTGTGTATTGATCTTGTTTTATTTTTCTCTCCTGTTAACTTTAATTTTTCTTGGAATGATTATCAATTTATTGCCATTATATAGCCTCTCAAATTTTGTATTTTGTTTTTTAATTATTTTTGTGTATTTCTATGTACTTGTGCTAACCTTTTAACTGGCCTCTGTGCTGTTAAATTTGCATGTAAATAAACATGAATTGAATTATTATTATTATCATTATTATTAAGATGTTGAGCTGCCACACAAATAAGTAAGAATTAATTGGGTTATTGTTATTACTATTAACTTCTATGTGTGTGTGTGTATGTATGGGTACTGTCCTTTTGCGACACATAACAGCATAACCATTCAAAATGTACTTATTTTATTTTTTCACCTGTTAATGCTAACTTTAATTTTTCTTGGAATTATTATTAATTCATTGCCATTATACAGACTGTCTTATTTGTATTTTGTTTTTTTAGCTATTTTGTGTATTTCTGTGTACTCATGCCAACTTTGTAATTGGCCCCTGTGCTGCTAAGCTTGCACACAAATAAACACGAATTGAATTATTATTATTATTATTATTATTATTATTATTATTATTACTACACAAGATGGCATAACCATCGGAAATTTACATATTCAATTTTTTTCTCCTGTCAATGCTAACTTTATAGTGTTTCTTGTAATTATTATTAATTTACTGCCCTTGTACAGAGTGTCATATTTTGTTCTTTAATTATTTTAGTGTATTTCTAGGTACTCATGCTAACTTTGTAATTGGCCTCTGTGCTATTAAGTTTGCATGTAAATAAACATGAATTGAATTGAACAATTAATTACATTAATTGCATTAATGTGTCTTTGCTCCAGTGCTTACATTTCATTAGTCTTTGACTTTATGTTGTGTTTGTGCATATGCAATTACTTTTATCTACACTGTGCAGTGTCTGTAATTGGCCTCTAACAGAAATGAGTACCAGCAATCTTCATGGGAGGGGGGGTAAAGGGGGGGGCCGGGACGGAAGGCTGACAACCTTCCTGCCATTTGTGAGCTGACTGCCTAGAAAAAATGTGGGAGCCTCGCCGTCTCACAACTCTAGGGGCCTTCATGGCCTGGTATAGGGATAGCTTTACCTCTCAAGTTCTTTCCAAGGAACGACAGAACTACTGTGGTTTAGTGATTACTTCCTTACAGTATCCACCAGATTTGAATATACAAACAAGTTTACACAGAATCAGATTTTAATCTTTCACATTGGTGAAAATCTTATTCTGGTCTCCTAAGTTATGACACTGTGTTGCCTGGTAGATGGTTACCAGCGAACACACTGCCCCTGGCTTCAACACACCAGCATAAAACTTTGGTAACCATGTCATAAGCCAGAAGACCATGAATGAATTTTACATAAAAACTGATACCAGGCATAATGTTACATTGCAGCATCCTGTTGCACTGCTTAGATCTGACTTTGCGTTTTGCTTTGATGCCGTCTGCGTGCAATGTCAGTTAACATTATCTCAGTTTTCTCTTTGTCGTCACTACACGCTTCGGCCTAACTGACCATCTTCAGGTGTACAGGCTGTTGTGATCAAGGAACCTGCTGCTCACTGTAATGCTGTTCTGTTTCTGTTATGTAGAGGCCTTGGATTGCATCTGGTTATGTGGGTTAACCATCCATTTTTTGTTTAGGTGTCCTTGAGCTGGGCATATTTGTTGTGCTGTGGTCGGCCATCAACACAACAAATTCCCGCCCCAGCCAAACAAAACCATGAAGCAAACACCAGCGGCTCAAGGACAATTAAATAAAAAAACAGATGACTAACCCACATAACCAGATGCAATCAGAGGCCTCCACATAACAGAAACAATCAGCATTACAGTGAGCAGCAGATTCTGCAATCTAACCTGTACACCTGAAGATGGCTGGCTGGGCCGAAACATGTAGTGTCAATAAAGAAAAGCAAGTGAATAGTAACCAATGTTGAACACTGACGGCATCAAAGCAAGACACAAAGTCAGATGATATCATGCATATGTGTTACCCTCCTACATGCAAACAGTAAAGCAAGAGAGGCAGTTTGTTGGACAAATAAGTATCAGTCTGACATGGTCACACACATCAAACTGACATTTCTTCCTGTAATACTGTAACAGTATCTTCCTGTCATGCATGGATGATAGGACAGCAAAATGGACATCAGAGAAATGCTGTAACTTGCTCGTTATGACTTACAGCAACAACTTCTTCCTCTTATGGCAGACGAGTCACTTGAGGTCTCATGCTGGTGAGTCGCAGGCCTGAAACAATTACATGAATAGCATTAAAAAACAGGTTCTGATTTGCATGCGAATCTGTATGTACGGTTTCAAACTTGATCCACTTTTAATTTCAACAAAATGTAAAACTTCTATGTGGCTTGCAATGACACAAAAAATTTATGGTTACATAACATTCCTGCATGATAATACTTGGCACTCCCCCCCTAAACACACACACAAACATGTTTGCTGGTACTCTCAGGTTCAGTTTTTGCATCAAGATTGAAAAATACAGTGCAATGGTAAATGTGTGAGACTTTTGCCAAGTTTGTCAATACAGATCAAGTAACTGCTGGTACACATACTAGCCTAAAGGAAAGATACTAATAATACCCATACACTCAGTAAATTTTGTTCAAAGATCTCTCCATATTAGAACACTGTAAAAATATATTAAAGTAAAGACTTCAGCTCCTTAAAAATGGGAAATTAATTTACATTCCCTTACAAATGCAAGCCATGCAATCCTGCACTACTTATATATCAAAAATTTCATGGAAGAACTTATGCTAATTTTCCATTTCCAATTTCCTGTCCAACCAAATTTCTCATTCAATAATTATATAATTCTGCCCCCTACATTTCAGCTACTACAGGCAAAACACCATGATATCCATAGCCACATTTGTAATTTTCACTGTTTCACAAACTCTGTTGTCAGTACAGCTTTTATAAAATGCAATTATCTAGACTAGATTATTAGCGGGGACCAAATATTGGTTCTAGAAGAACCGGAAACAAAGTGAACAAGAATATTCAAGCACAATAACAAACATCAAGGACAATCAGCTCATAAAATGAAAATGCTGATCTTCCCAAGAACTTGAGTTATGTATCAGTTCCATCATTACAAAAACAGTGTTAATATTCTGCTCAACAATTAATAAAATATGGCTACAAACCATTCAAAAGACTATGTAAGGCATGGAGAATTGATGGGATTCAACACAAACTTTCATACTGCAAAATTATTTGCAAAGAAAGTAACTGAAATAGTGAAGCATCATTACTTACAGTTCACTATGACCAAACTCATATTTACCAATACAGAAAAGTGTTTACCACAAAATTTGTATCTACTTATAAACTCTCCTACAACGCCAGATACAAGCTAATCTATACTGTGAAGTGCTGCTTAGTAAGTACCTGTAATATTACGCTTTTCTTCTAACAAATAACGAATTATATAAACCTGCATAACATTTCTAAGGAGAGCTTCCCTCTCCCTCCAATATGATCCCGTAATGGCAAACTTCAAATTCTTAATTTCTAACACGAATATTAAGAGTAATCATTATTTTGCACATAAAATCAGCATCTATAACTCTGTCATCACATGACATATGTTTCATTCCACAGCATACTGTGAGTTTGTTAATTCTTTCAGTCACAGTGACGGGAACAGACATGTTCAACCACAACCCAACTGCAGAACTGCAGCTGCACCTACAATAAGAGTCTACATAATTCAAATTTATATATACACGAAGATGTACGATGAACAATATTTGTCAAGTACACTCGTCTCCTGCTTTCTCTGTCAGTGCCGTAACATATGGTATTTACATCTGTAAGGAAGGGAGTAACATTCAACTTCTGAAATTAAAGTATTCTTATGTAACAACAGCACCAAAAGCAACAATAAATTGGGACTCAGGATTTGAATCACATACAAAACAAATCCTACCACAAAGCTCACACACTGCTTCAGCAGCATACGGACAAGGATAAAGGTAGGGTAAGGTAAAGTTGTCCCTGTGCTTAACTAATTAAGCACCACAAAGGTCGCGGGTTCAAGTCCTGATGAGGTCATTCGATTTTTTTCAGTTGACCTAATCCTTCCAGCCACACTAGGCCCTGGGGTTTACTCAGCCTCTAACAGAAATGAGTACCAGGAATTAAGTAAATAATTTTCCTGGGGAGTAAAGCACGGCCGGCGAGTAAGGCTGACAACCTTACCGCCATCTTTGAGCCAATTGTCTAGATAGTGTGGGACCCTCGTCTCACAACCCTATGGGCCTTCACGGCCTGGTACAGGGATAGCTTTATTTTTTTTTACTTTACCATGAAGGGATACGGGAGCGTGGATGTATACATCCAGTGACAAGGGTAGAGATGTAAATTTAATAACTTTGGATATTCTCTGTTAGGTCTGTGATGGATTTCAAATGTCTTCTGACAAAGAAAAAACTAAACTCCCATTCCTCTCTGCAAAATAAGAATATAAATGCACCACTCCACTAACTGCCAAATATATGTCCATTTTGCAGGTGGTCAACTGTTCACTGCCTGCATCTGTTACTGTCATCTGTCTCTTCAATCTACTTACGGTTAAGAACAATGGACTGTGAGTGGAAATATCACACACAAGTGACCCTATCTTCTCTGAGACCTGTCTGTCTGACTACTACCTTATCAACTAGATTGGTACAGAGCATCTGTATCATTCAAGTCATCTACTGCAGTCTTCAGCACGATCAAAGGGCTTGTATGAATACAGCTGAAGAACTGAGGATATACACAAACATTTAACCTGAACACCAAACACATTCAAATTTAAAATGACACTACAGAATTCCTACAGCACTGTACAATTACCATGTTTCTGCACAGATACACACCTCTGCAGTTTGCATTACATTCCTGAACAGGCCACATTTTCCTTCCTTCATTTACAACAATTTAGCAATCCCCTTTCACTGTTAACGTTTACAAACCCCTTCCGCTCGCATCATTTCCTAACCTCCCCCTTTCTGTGAACATCTCAACTCACACCACTCACCTTCAGACTCCCCTCCACTCTCTTCTGCAAATCTGCTTTCCCTTAATTCCCTTCTTTTCCTCTAATGGGTGGGGCCTGTAGAGGAAGTGGTGGAAACAGATGTGTCAGGAAGGGAAGAAGAAGCAAAGAAAAATGGTTCAGGAAAATTATGTATGGAGAAGTCAAAAGTGGAAGGATGAAGGATTCAAGAAAGGTAGGGAAAAAAGGAAGTGGAAGGGAAAGTGAAGTAGGGACTGGAAAAAAGGATATGTAATTAAAGAAAGGAAACTGATTGGGTCTTGAAAAGAAGGAGATTCAGCAAAAGGCAATATGGAAGAAGAGCAGAAAGGAGACGTGAGATAGTAAGAGAAATGAGGGCTATGAAGATAGCAAGTGGTGGAATGGGGGAGTTCAGGAATGATATTCATAGAGAGGAAATTAGAAAGGGTGAGGAGAGGAAATGGTAGGTTTGAAAACAGTTCAGGAAATTCACGAAGACAGCATTTACAAAAGAAGGTAACAGAGGAGCTGAGAAGTTTAGGAGTGTAGAGGACGGTAGGTTGAGGGAGGGAAGATGTGAAGTGCAATAGAAAATTTTCAGAAAACTCAGGCGGAAAAAGTAAAATACAAATAGGCGGAGAAGGTTGTGGCAGAAGGGATGAAGGTTAAATTGAAAACAAATATAAGTATATGAAGGAACAGTGAAGGAGATCAGGCCAGTAAGTTGGTGACTATGACGATACGCTGTACTGAACTATAATATACTAAACACAAAGTCTGCTAGACAAGACAATAAAATGTTCCAACTATACTGTGACATGTCAATTTTTATAAAACACTACTGCGCACACTATTACTTTGTACTAATATTCAAATAAATTAAAGGGTCCTAAATATCACCAACTGCAGGGCCTGCATTTCTAAAGTACACCACAATCAGCAAGATTAAGGGCTTGCAGGACACTCATGACGCAAGGAACTGCAGCACCTGCTACACTCTTCTAACCCAACTAAAGTTGCTCCCTTTCACTAACCATAATACACTTGGTCATCAACTTACGACTGACTTCCATTCTGACTGACAGGTTGGAGATCTGGTCGTATGTCAGCCATATATTTATTAACAGTATTTTTTAACCTTTCTAATCTTTTGATCATCTTTATAATTTATTTTTAAAAACTTTTACATTTTAATTATCTTTTATTTTTCATTTTTTTTTGTGGTTGTAAGTGCAGCTGGTCACAGGTCGCATACATAGTAAGTTGACAACCAAGTGTACACATGTAATAGCACAACAGGTGTAAGTTGGACACCGAACATAAAAAGCAAGAGACAGATGCATAATAAGGTAAAGCTATCCCTGTAACAGGCCAAGCAGGCTCATACGGTTGTTAGACGTTAAAGCTCCCACAATTTCTGTACAATTGGCTCACAGATGGTGGTGGAGCATTACACCAGAGAGAGATACATAGCAATCATAATACAGAAACTGGAGGACACACAGCTTTCAAATGCCATCACCCTGTGACTTCCAGTAAATGCTGATCTTGTTAAACTTTTCCAGTGTGTGCACAAACTAAAGCCAAGTACTATGGTGTACAAAAGGCAGACTACGGATACTTGAAATCTTCACGTGGTAAGATAGTTTATTATAGCATATTATACTAACGCACAATAAACTGTAACAAACTGTACTATGATGTACTACATTGCTTTGTACTAAACTATACTATACTAAGAATGATCAATTCATGACTATAACACCACCGAAAAGGTGTGCACATAATGGTGTGCACGCACACGTGTCAGTGTGCTCCTGCCTTGAATCCTAGCACCCTGGCTTTTAAAAGACAGCACTATTCATACATTTGCAAGCATTTCCTGCTTGCTACTTAATACTGATGCTTGAATGTCACTGAAACGCTGTAAACCGAATGCAAATGTGATGATAAAGTGATGTAATGTAACGCAACGTGGAAGCAAAATTAACTTAGTTTACCTCCGCTTGTTGTGAAATTCTTGCAATCAGAAGCTGCAACATCTCAGAAACCTCCCATACACAAACACGTCCAGCACAGACTATGATCTGGCCTGCAATGCAAAATGGTACAACAAATTATTGGGATGTACATACAATACAGCAAGAGTTTTATTTTTCTTTCGTTAGTGGCAAGGATTAACAACAGGAAGTGCTGTTATTTCCTGATTGGCTGATGCCCTGTTCTAATGAATGCCACCAATCAAGCCTACATGTGGCTCCTCCTAATGCGGGCTGCCACCTGAAAGCAGGAGTTTAAATGGGAATCTCATTTCATACCATTAGACAAAGCATGCCAATCACTCACCCTGTGTCACAACCCTGCATATGAGACCAAACACATGCTGCTATACTAACTACCTGAAAGCCTCTCCCCCATTCACCACCTGTCCTGTATACAAGGTCCTGCTACACGTATCCAGCTGCCTTGAGTTTGGGCTATGGAGTCCTCCTTGCCCTGCCTACTTCCTTATAGTACTGAACTGGAGTTATACGAGATATTGGCTGGCTGGCTGGCTGGTTGATTTCCAATGACTGCATTTGGGATCATTTAACCCATTTTGCTTCTTGCTTCCCAATAGAGAGAACTCAAGTTCTTGCTCTGTTGCATCTCCTTGTTAAGATTATGAAGAAGGTGTTCTGGAAAGTTGCACAGTGCACATTCTTCTGTGTTATATATTCCTATCTTACAAAGACGTGCTGCAAGGCAGTTATGTCCTGTATTCAATTGAAAATTTGCAACAGCTTCTTTTCTGGGTTTCTTACTGTTAAAATTTATCAAGCAGTGAAATTACATTTCAATATATCTACTGAACAAGGTCAAAAAATGCTGGCCTAGAAGAGTGAATGTAACATGACACCTGTGGTACAGGGGGCTCCTTGTAGACGCTGCACAAGGGAAGAGGCAGATGCTGCACAATCCTTGCTCACCCACAAACTTGATACAGATTTTCTTCACTGATACAGCTCTCGAACTGCCAATATACTATAACAATTATGCAGGGCTTTACAAATTGTAAATCTGAACACACTATACAGAGTGAAACAAAAGCAAGAACGTCAAATATATTGTACAAAATGTGTCCTGTGAGGTTTAGTTTTCAAGATATGCTTCACTGTCAAGTGGCACAAGCTATTTAATGATCATCCTTATTATCAGAGTATCCACCAATAATGCAATATAACATACATTAGGAATATGTTTCACACTAAAAAAGTATTTCAGTACTTCTTGATATTGTTAAAATCATTACATGTCAATAGGACACTAAGAGCATATTCTATACATTAAAAGTGATTATCTAATTTCTAAAATGTCTCTAGTCATATATTTGTTCTAGTTTACAACATGTTTTGGCCACATATGGGCCATCTTCAGGTAATTTCCCCTCTTTTGGGGAGACCACTGCACTGTATACTTGTTCACTGTGCTTCCATGCACGTCAGTATTTAGTTCTATCTCATGATCAGAACGCTGTCGTTGCACTCTATTGCGGCTGTCATAGTTTTTGTGTGTCGTACGTATCACTAGTGCAGTCTATCTGACAGGTACACAGGAAGATGGAATTGGGTGATGGGCTCCACTGGGCTGCAAACCCCAAGACACTATACAACACATTAGTCTGAGGCCAAGATTAAGTTACCACTGAGCAGGGGCATGTCTACAAATGAAAAAGTTCAGAAACACTCAGGGAACGTGACCTGCCTAAATGGAGCACTGTATATTCTAACAAAAACTGGTACGTATGTCTGGCAGCTGAACCCACACACCTTTCAGTATAGGAAGGTCCCTGCATGAGCTAACCTTTCAGTATAGGAAGGTCCCTGCGTGAGCTAGACAGCTGAAGAGTGGAAGACAGAGGAAGATGCTACATATGAGTTTTGTTTTTCCTTTCAAACACAACAGTTTACCAAACAATTCACTGACATTTCACTGTGTATAACACAGTTTACTGTTCATACAATGTCACAGCATGCTTCAGCTCATGAAGCCATCATCAGGCGAAACATTAATAAACCATGTACTATTTCTTACTGAAAACCGGCACAACACAACAATCAATAATATGTGTAAGTAGCTCTAGGAGATACTTTTGCTACATGTTTCGGCCTTCAAAAGGCCATCATCAGGCAAATATATTAAACTTTTCGTTACTGAATTGTATATCAAATATAGGATACAGCGCTAAACTTCCAAGTGTATACAGTGGAATAAAATGATATGAGTGAATATAAAATATAACAAAGACAAAAACAACACCATCCAGTGTGACTATTTAAATTTTATCACTTGAAAACTGATCACCCTTAAATGTTTCAATCCCTACGGATCATCCTCAGAGGTCATCAATACTTTTTCCGGAAACTACTATTACAGTAGGTGTTAAATTATATACATACACATATAATGTCTGAAATACACAATGTACACAATGTTAAACTTTTCACAGTCACAGCAGCCTTCCTGGTATTAAATTTTTTTTTTAAGTTTTTTAAAAACTTTGTTGTTTAGGATTAAAATTTATAAACCATGCAGGTTNTGAACATTGTGTACATTGTGTATTTCAGACATTATATGTGTATGTATACAATTTAACACCTACTGTAATAGTAGTTTCTGGAAAAAGTATTGATGACCTCTGAGGATGATCTGTAGGGATCGAAACATGTAAGGGTGATGAGTTTTCAAGTGAAAAAACTTAAATAGTCACACTGGACGGTGTTGTTTTTGTCTTTGTAATTGTTAGTGTGACGGACCAGAATGAAACAAATCAAATTCATAAAATATAAATTACAATAAAAGTTTAAGTCTTATATAACAAGTTACATAGTCAAAAGTATAGTTAAAAGTTGTATATGTTATGGTATTTGGAAGCTGGCAGTTGTAAATGTAATATATGTAACGCTTATACGGATGTATTACATACACAATGGCTGATGTGGTGTTTGGAGGCCCGTTGTTATGTTGTATGTTATTATTTAACATTTGATACCTGGAAATAATGTACCATTGGTAACTATTATTGAATTACTTAGTGATTGTATATGGTATTGACTGAATAATTATGGTAACCATGGCCAAAACATGTAACAAACGTATCTCCTAGAGCTACTTACGTGCATTATTGATTGTTGTGTTGTGACGGTTTTCAGTAAGAAATAGTATATGGTACACAACAGGATGCAATCAATGGTTGAAAAAAAAATACTACTGAATTATGCCTCTTACATGGATCCATAGAGAGGAAGATACCATGTGGCTCCTGCTCACTCAGAAACTTGACATCCTTCATTGCTGGGAACGGCCACCCTTCACTGATGCCCCAATTCCAGGACTGCCAACATGGACAGCACAGATAAAACTCTACAAATTCTACTTGTAAATCTGAGTGCACCATGAGGTGTGTTAACCAACCCACGAGTGTGCTAAATCAAGATGATCCCCTGACACTGAGTTTGGAACTACAAGAGGCACTAAACTTTAGTGATGCACAAACTTGCTGGTTGCTCTCCGACTGAACTCATACGCTCCTCACCAATGATTGCTCCTAACATTTCATCTGCTGCAATATCAAGTGACAGCAAAGTCTTGCAAAATCTCAGTATTCTTTACCATTTCAACAGAGTGCTATACCCAAACACAGAAGAAGACTGGCATTGACATGTGTGTGTGGCCTTCTGCACTTCCTAGCTTCACGCCCCTTGCCTAGTTCTGCTCATACACTTTGCACCCTATCCTCCGCTAGACTGACCCTACAGCACTCACTCAACAGTGGGTTATCAGTGAATACTGAAAAATGGTTGGGCCTAATTTGAGGAACTATTCTGCCACTCAGCAAAACTAAGAAACACCTCCATCAGGATAGCAGATCTCTGGAATCAGATGTGTCTGAGGCCTCTAGAATACACACATGGCTACTAAATGAAAAATGTTCAGTCTCAGAAGAGCACAGATTAATCTCGTGTGTTACATACCTCCCACACAGGATGTCATCACAGAACATATAGCAAAGGCAGGGAATCTGTTACGTTTTTGTCTCGCTCTGACATCAGTTGCAATGACAGTCTCTCCACAGGTGCCTCTCCAGAACTGTCAAACAAGTAGTAACAATTATACTACGCTTACACGATCATTAATTATAATCCATCTACAGGTTGGTTATTCAGATGCCTTTTCAAATGATCTTTTCACTAGGTATTTTGAACGCTGCCTGCAGTCCCACTTTCTTCAAACCCTGCTGTTCGATAAACTCATTGTTTCCTTGGTACTGACAGGATAACTAAACTGTGGCCTGGGAAGGAGGCCCAACCAGCTAGGATTCCTTACCTTATCCTGTATCTGAGGACGGAAACAGCCCACAAATACGAATACTCTACATACTGCCAGCTTCAAACTACAGGAACATATATGATTAACATTACACGTGCTCCTACATACCATAATTGTCCACTTACTGCAAAATCTTACGTCGACACGTTTTGAAAACTTAATACTGAAATCCCATACGCCACACATTTATGAAATTTGGTTTAATTAACTCAAAAACTTCCTCTCCATTCCTCCTATCTATCTACGGCTGTAAAGCCCTTGCGGACATCGGCCGCTTTTTCAGTATCTTAGCGGTCGGTAGGCCTCCTTGGACACCGGATCAGCCGGTCGGAAGGTCGGAAGGGTCAGGTCAGAAGGCCGCTACCTATACACACAACACAAGCACAGAATACATGCAGACATCCATGCCTCCAGCGGGATTCCAACCGACAATCTCAGTGGAAGAAAACGTTTCGTGATTTAGACGCAATTGCTCCACAATCACCCTCACCTACCATCTGGGGCTAGTACAATAGGCCAGAAGTGGCTGCAGTACAACGGACTTGGTCCCACCCCACTAGCAATAATAATTAAAAAAAAAATCATAGACGACTTGTACAACAGCATCATTCTAATCTGCCTCCATTTATAAAAATGGCTACCGCCATGGAATACCAACTACCGAGGATTACCTACAGATCGGTGTTACAACTGTCCACGGATCAATTTAGATATAGGTTGCAGTGGTTATATGTGCCATCTATACGCAGAGCTTACATTTCATGGCATTCATTCCGGCATCGTTGGCTTAGTTGCCTTCAAATTCTCTATTATTCCTCGGGATCGCTCGGTTTTAACGAGCTTTTGCACTTTCGCCGTTGTCCAGTAGATCACAGAGTTGTTATGTCGATTAGCTAGAGCTAACTTCAATCACTGCATTATATTAGGATACATAGTCCCACAAAACAAATTCAAATGTAGGAAATATACAAAGAGAGCCAATCCAATTATGAGCCCACATAACTATTAAAAATATCCCCCTACTTGTTATTTTACTACTGCATGGAAGCTATTCTCTTAAATTCTAATGCTTTTTCTGTATCCCTGTAACATTGTGCTGTCTCTCCGTGATTAATGCTGAAGCTGAAGCTTGTTACCACAGGCTGATGTGAGTGAATTTTGCTTGGATCCTTGAAAACATCAGATCTCCTCGCAGAGCCAATCAGGTTTACACAATGAGTTGAGTTCAAGTTTCTGAAAGTCACCGTTGCCAATGAGATGGGCTGGAAGACATGTCTGTATCCCACCAGCTCTAGACAAAAGGGTATGGGGCTATATCAGAAAACAACACAGCACATTTGGAAAGGCAACAGATTCAATCACACACAGCCACACTATGAGTAACGGTATAGCAATTCTGTTGTACATTCAGAGACAGCAAGTACATACATATATAAGTTTATGCACTGCAATCAGATACATGACTACAGTTAGCCTAACATTTCTTAGCAGCATGGGCAAAAACACACTTGGATAAAGTCCACATGGTACAGAAATTTGTTATGATCAGACACATGTTTGCATTCAGTCAAACACTTATTAGAAATTGTATTTTAGCATTTTGCTATAATAGTTGAATCACTGTGTGGGTGAAGCGTGTTGACTATGTGGTGAGCTGACCAATGACTGGTGAAGTTGTACTTACTCAAAATAGGAATTAATCTGCAAGGCAGAAGTTTTTACACAATATTAATAATACAGGTACATCAACAATGCAACTATTTTATTCTTTCCCTTTCATTTTCCCTTTTTCAACATGTTTTGGCCCCAATCAGTCATCATTAGGTATCTCAATTTGCCAAAACTGTTATGCTGCATTGAATATCACTCATTAACTTCGCATGTAACTGCAATATTCCGTGATATTAATGTTGTAGTCACAATCTAGCTAACATTAGTTGAATTACCACATGCCATAATTTACTTTCTATTAAAATTCATTAAAAATTCATTATAATTAAAAATTTGTTTCTTTCTTCTTAAAATTTTGTAAAATTCTTTTTACATCTCACAACATCTACTACAAGAGAGGAAAACATCATATGCTGGTGGAGAGAACGACGTACAGACAACGGGCAAAAAGTAACAACAACAATAGGCTTACATATAGAAAACAACAGGCCGCTGCTACACTATAAACATCCAAGGAAAGGACTGAAATATATTGTCCAGACAAGTGGACAACACCCTAGTGAGGTGTAAAAAGAATTTTACAAAATTTTAAGAAAAAAAAACATATATTTTAAATTTTAATGATTTTTAATGAATTCTAATAAATAGTAAATTACAGCATATGGTAAGTCAATTAGTGTTAGCTAGATTGTGACCACAACATTAATATCACAGAATACTGCAGTTACGTGTGAAGTGAATGAGTGATATTCAGTATAGTCTAACAGTTTTGGTACATTAAGATACCTGATGATGGCGGGCTGAGGCCCAAATACGTGGTAAAATGGAAAGAATAAAATAGTTGCATTATTGATGGAACTGTATTATTAATATTCTGTGTAAAAGTTATAGTAATGCAACAGGATGCTTAAATATAATATTGCAAGGCAGAATTTCCGAATCACAAAACTGTCTTTAGTGATATTTTGAATTGCTTACTGTGGGGCTAGGTGGGGTATAAAGTTTTTGTCCAGCATGCTATACTACCTCATGGTAGACTGTAACATCTCCAACTGGTTCACACTTGTATCTTGTATTGACTGCATGGAATTCTGAATATTTATGAAACACTTCTAAGTTGTTGACTGGAAATGTTCTTAGAGCCAATAAACACTCCATAGGTAGAAATAGTCTATCAAGCCTCTTAACTGGTTATCTGTTCTTTGCACCTACCGGCCTTGATTCTAACAGCCTTCTGTTAAAGCAGTCTTTCTCAACTGGGGGGTTCCCTGGAACCCTAGGGTTGAGCAAGAAACCATAGGGGAAAAAAATATATATAGTTTTCACATTCATGCTTATGTGTGTTTATATTAATAAAGACAACTAAAGCTATCTATTTCCTATATTTGGAGTTACAAGTTATATCAAAAATAATATTTGCTTATAGCCTTTTTTAATCATTGAAGTTTTCTATGGTTTTTCAGCATTTAAGCAAGTTACTTGACCATTTCAATAATCTTCATAATACCAATTAATATTTGAATTAATTGGAAATAAGTACGCCAAAACTGACAGAAATAGTTCACTGTAGTCGTATTCATTCTTTTTTGTTAACTTGTAACAGAGGCTGCAGTGAATGAAGACAAGCATGAATGGGGCACAGGCATTTGGTGGTTAAAAACACTGTCACAGAGGAATATTGGACCTGCTTGTTATAAACATTGTATAAGGTCGAATTTGTAGGTTGGTTTGTGCGAAGTTCTCATATATTTTTGCGATTTTCTAGTTTAGTTATCTATTATGCCATTCTATTTCACATTTTATTAACCCTCGTGTTTTACACAAATGTCTGATGGTCCTATGTGACGATTTTTGGAGAGGAGGTCATGTGATAAAAGAGGGGGACTTAAGTCCCAGGCATATAAACAATTCTGCCAGGGATAGTAATGAAATATAAACCTCTGACAAATTTCACTGCATAAATGTAACAACACACACATAACTTGTCTGTCTGCATAATGAAAACTGATTATCAGTGGGCTTTACATGGACTGGTGATTCAGTTTGTCTTGTTCCACTGTGCCTCGTCTGTGGCAAATGATTTATAAATGCAACAATTACCTCAGCAAAACTAAATCGGTTGGGTAGGGCTGGAGATAGTACCCAACAGAATTTCCTTATTGCCTGAATACACAGGAAGGAGTATGGGAGAGGCGTATGTTCAAGTCGTAAACAAAGAAGTGGCAGAAAATCTCTGCAGAAACACAAGGATAAAAGTGGCATTTCATGGATGAAAATGTTTCAGAGATTGGGCCATATTGAAACAGTGGATATAATCAGACGGCATGGTAGGGATTTTGAATTATATGTTAAAAGGCAAAAGTTCCAAAGACAGCACAAATCAAGATGACTTACCCCCATGAGTGATGGATGATAAAACCAGCAGGAGCAACTTGTGGGCTCAAGATGGAAAACTGTTACATTTGGAGGTTTCTCATGCATCAGCTCACTGCTTAATGGAAACCAGACTACAGTCTCAGGAGACCAGACTGAGGTGGCCTACCCAAGTGGCTGATAATATTACAAATAGAGGAACAGTATGGACAGAGGTGCAAGGATAAGAATTGTGGGTAGGCAAACACAGTTGGAGGCGTTTCCTCGATAAACCCACCGTTTAGTGGAATCAGTGACAGCAGAAGAGACACGAGGTACTTTAAAGGAAATTAAATGTTTGGAGTGTTTTCAAACCAGTACAATCATGTGTAAAGTAAAGGTAAAGTTGTCCCTCTGCTTAACTGATTAAGCACTGTGTCATGAAAATATGACTTTGTCACTTAGTGGAAGCAAGTGGTCAGCTGCTTTACCCCTAAGAAAGAGCCCCTGGTCCCAAATGGATAGGAGGCTGGGTGGACCCCAGGGTCAGTCTGGGCACTGGAGTAGAGAAAAATGTTGCCTCTGCTGTGAATTAAGCAGTGGTCATCCAGCCAGTAGCCTGTCACTATACTGACAGAGGCATCCTGGCTCTCTAATTATAACAACAGTAATAATAATAATGATAATAATAACAACAACAACGACAGAAACAGCAGCAGCAGCAGTAGGCAACGATGGCGGTGGCGGTGGTGGTGTTGGCGGCTGTGGTGGTGGTGGTGATGATGATGCAGTGTGGTTTCAATACTTAGCTATGGAAGTGATGAAGTAACTAATTCTGGAGCTGGCTCATTCTTTAGAAGCCAGCAGTCGCTCAGCCACTCAATTCCCAGAATTTTATCAAATTCAAGGCAAATACCTTCATACTGAGACATCCAGGGCCAAAAGCATTTCACACACAGAGGGGCTGTTATAACACCCAGACGATATTGCACGGTTATGATTTGAAAATGGAACCCAATTCTGTGTATAGAGCCAGGATAGCGCGGCCGGTATAGCAACTGGCTAAGGGCTGAACAACCAAGGAATCGGAGTTCGAGTCCCGGTAAGGGAAGAATTTTAACTTCTCTGTGTCATCCCCCTCTCGTTGGTGCCTCCACCTTATCGTGGTGAGGGGGTTTGAGTATGCCAAGGACCCTGAGAGCTATACCAGCGGTAGCGTAACTACTGGCAGGGCCTCCTTTGCTGGACAGGTCAAAGGGTAGGCATCAGACGAAGAGGGACACCAAAAACCAAAAACTGATGCCGGAAGCAGCGTCATCAGTAGCGACTTGAAGCACAGAGCAAATGATGCTCGAGATGGTTCAAGTTCGTATAGCAACAGGCGTGACCAGAGTGGTTTGAACGGCTGTTGTACTGCGATGTGGAAAGCAAATGGAAAAACTACCACATTATCACTTTTCCTGG